GGCCCCCACGTCGTTACAACCTCCGTTCAGGTGATTGTAGAGGCTGATAAGGTCTCCCCTTAGCCTCCTTTTCTCCAAGCTGGACAACCCCAGCTCCCTCAGCTGCTTCTCATAAGACTTGTTCTCTAGGCCCTTCACCACCTTTGTTGCTTTTCGTTGGACACGCTCCAGCAGCTCAATGTCCTTCTTGTAGTGAGGGGCCCAAAACTGAACACAGTATTTGAGGTGCGGCCTCGCCAGCGTGGAGTACAAAGGGATGATCGCTGCCCTAGTCCTGCTGGCCACGCTATTTCTGATACAAGCCAGGATGCTGTTGGCCTTCTTGGCCACCTGGGCACACTGCTGGCTCACCCCCAGGTCTTTTTCTGCCGGGCAGCTTTCCAGCCACTCGTCCCCAAACCGGTAGGGTTGCACGGGGTTGTTGTGACCCAAGTGCAGGACCTGGCACTTGGCCTTGTTGAACCTCATACAGTTGGTCTCGGCCCATGGATCCAGCCTGTCCAGGTCCCTCTGCAGAGCCTTCCCACCCTCCAGCAGATCAACACTCCCACCCAGCTTGGTGTCATCTCTGAGCTTCCTGAGGGTCCACTCTGTCCCCTTGTCTAGATCATCAATGAAGATGTTAAACAGTACTGGCCCCAAAACAGCTCTGAGGAACACCACTGGTGACCAGCCGCGAAGTGGATTTAACTCCATTCACCACCACAATATAGGTGTTTAGTGTAACTTTAGACCCTGTGTGTGTTCTCTCTGGCCTCCAGCTGCCGTCCCACAAAGGTGCCAGTGTCTTGGACCCCCCAGTGACATCTACCAGTCTTGGGTGGGTGTATTGGAGATAACAGAGCATCTCAGATGGCATTAGGTGCCTATGCTGTAGCAACTGAATTGAGTCCTGGATTTCTACTGATCATAATGGGACCTCAGACACTGCATATGTGGACACCAAAAGTTAGGTGTCTTAAACTTGCACTGAATTACAATCTGTAGTGATGTTTGCCTCCGTAATGCTCTGTTTTATATCTCTGGCCTGTGCTGGACACTGTCAGCCTCCATGGAGTGTACTGTTGCAATCACGTAAGAATATTTGGGGCTTTTCTTGGCATGAAAAAGGTGGTTTCTAGATCCATTTCACCACTCCATCCCCAAGTGAGGTGTGATTTACCTATATTCTCTGCAGTGATGAAACTGCCTTTAATTTCCACCTTTTCATCTCTCTTCCCTCAGCTGCTTGTTCCTAACCCTGCCAGTGTTTCAAATCCTCTTTCTTACATTGATACAGAGGTCAACAAGGGCACCCTGAAACCCAGATCATTAAAATGATCCAGGCTTAAAACGTTCTTAATGTTCTTATGTGGGTGGTTTTTGTTTGTTTTTTGTTTTTTTTTTATTTTTTGTCTGTGTGTGTATAGAGGCTATTTTAATCCAAGTCACTTTGATGCTACTTACAGTGTATTTCTGGTGTTGCATCAGAACAGCTAAGGGGCCTATGAGCTGTGGTAAGTGAAGGGCGGGCAGAAGCAGATGAGAAGGGAGCAGGAAATGCATCTTCTTTCCAACTGGTATAAAAGGCTTCATGTGAGGCAGAGAAAGTACACTTACTATTTTGGCAGCCAAGTGAAATCTGCAAGTGGCCCATCATTACTCTGATTGCTACCTCACGAATCACCATAGAGGAAACATTTCAAGCAGTAAATAATCTTTTCTTGTTCACTTTATCTCTTGTTATAATTAAAAGTCAGCATTGATAGCTGTTCAGAGATTTTTTTTTTTATTTCTTTTTTTTTACAATCATTTTTCAATCTTAATACTGCAAATGGTCAATTCAGATTGCCTAATCAAGAGAAAAGTGAAAGATTCTGTTTTGGAAAGCAGTTATTTAGAATACTTCTGAAATGATCATCTCTCTTTTTCTTTTATTTTTATGGGAATCTGCTTGATTGTGCATTCCTCAAGAATCCAAAATGCTTATTTAACTAGCGAAATCAGCTCACCGATTTTCCTTCTATCCATATTTCTTCATTGTTCAGACATGTTCAGATGTGCTGTTGACAGTATTTCTGGAAGCATTAATTCCTCTGGATACAGAAGCCACTGTGTTCTGCTAGCAAATTCTAACTAGGATCTTTTGAGAGGCTCTTTGATGTTACTGTTATGTCCCTGAGATGCTGCTGGCGTATGAACTTAAGACTGCAATCAACTGTCCAAATTTAAAAAATTTTGCAATATTGTATTTCTTATTCTTTTTTCCCCCCTTTTTGTTTTAGGAGGCTTTAAATGACTCGCGCTTTTAGAGCTGCATGAATTAATCCTGCAGCTAATTCCTATCAGACTTGATATAAAGCTTATCACTGCATTTATAAATAACAACTATTAGTATAAGGCTGAATTCAGCTATTGCTTCTATTTTTTCCCCTCTCTAAGGCATCCCAGCAAAGATGAACTAATGTGATGGCAAGGTGCCACCTATCATGCCTGTTTGCTTCATCTGCTGTATGTTCCTGATACTGTCTTTGTGCTACCTACCGTGGTCCCTAACCCTATAATGTACGGATTCAGGGATTTAAACCTTTTTTTGTAAGGTTAGTTGCATGCTGGATCAACTGTTGGAGCTGGCTCACCGTGGGTCAGAGGAGTGCGACTGCCTCATTCGAGAGATGCCTTTTCGGTGACAGCTAGTCAGTAGATCTGTTTAGCAGTATTGTGAAACCTTTCCTGAAGGTAGTTTCTGTATAGGCGTGGCCATCAACAACTTTCAGAGTGATGACAAAAAAAGATCAAAATCTTGTTTGCATCCAGTTCTTGTTTTTTTTAGGAAAGAGTCAAACCTGGTATAACAATTCTAAGATGCCTAATTGTTAATGTTTACTTAACACGTTAGAAATCCAAGGCAGCGGATCTTCATTGATCCAGTTGTATGCTTTTGCATTTTCATGATTTTCAGTCTTTCATAAGAGGAGGTAAGTTTAACTATATGAGCAGAAATTCGTTAATGTTCTTTGATGAGAAAAACTTTAGAAGAAAATGATGCTATGATTTTTATTTTTTTTTCCCCTCCAATGGTAAGTAAATGGCAATTTTGAGCATACCTGTTCTTGAGAAATCACTTGTCTTGTGATTACTATTTTAATTCCATCTCCATTAAGGTGGAAAGTTCCTGGAGAAGTAACTCTTTTACCTGTAACACGCCAGTCTTCTCCCAAAGTATAAAAATTATTTAAGACAATAAAACATTATATGGCAGTCATAATTTGGGGAAGTTTATACAGAAGTAAAAAAATGCTACTGCTGCATTGAGCAGGCTGTAAATGGGGTGGTCTCATTCAATCTGACTTTACAAAACTAATGCTTATAAATGTTTCAAGAGGTATGAACAGCGAAAATGGCATGATTCCTTGAAGGTGTGGGCTTTTTATGAAATGTAATATCCAAAAGATTCAGAGTAAGCTTATTAATGCAGCAAGCTTTCAGTAGTTGAATAGGACTTGACACTGCTGCGTACTGAAGTACAGTCAAGAAGGTGGATATCTAAATGACTTAAAAACTCCTGTTTTCTTAAGACTACTCTCTCCTTAATTAACTTACAGAAACATGTGAGTTAAATGTAGTTTTCATGTTTTGATGTCTCTGCTTTTTATAGCTGTTGGATGAACTGCCAATGATATACAGTTGTTGTGTGTTTGTCTACTGCCTGTAAGTATTAGTTAATTTTTTTCTGAATATTTATGAATTATTAACTTTTGAAACGTAGAATCTATGAAGCCCAATGTAGTGTAGAGTGAGGCTGACATGGAAGCTTCTACTGATTTCAGTGAGATCTCAGTTTTGCTAGCAGTACAGCATTATGACTTGGCCATTAGAGCACCAGGCTGACTTTAGTCTTAGTTTTTGCTAATTTCGAGATGTTTTACCAGTGTTTGTTTAGCAGGGAAAAAAATAACTCTTGTTAAAAACTTTGTGTACTATACAACTAGAGCTCAGTGTTACTTGGTATTTAAACAGCAGACATAATAAAATTGACTTCAGTAACGCCTACAAAATTATCAGCATTGTAATTTATTTGAGCTGTATTTCTATGTAGTAGTCTGACTCCAAATGCAAATTTCAGACTTCTGGTTAAACCTGCTTTCCACTCATGTGGAAAATTAAAGAAAAAAGATTTTATGAAGAGTTAAGTGCATATTTTTTGGAGAGTGTCTTGGAACACGCATGACAGCTTAATGCCATGCCAGGATGTTTTCTCCATTTAATTTCAGGAGCTATATAGCATTTGGCGACTCTAAAGGTACAGTAAGTTGGCTTTTTCTTGCCTGTTGCTGCAAGGCCTGGATTTAACATGATTTGTTCTGTCACTTGGAAAATCCAAATGATGAATCAACTTGTTGCAGACAAAAAGACAAAAAAATTGTCTTTTTGCTTTTGAACATATCAAATATTCAACCTTTGAAAACTGGAATATCTTTGGTGACGATTACTGGTAGCTTGCAATGGAGATGGGATGCTATAAGATTAATCCTGCATCTGTGGAAATTACCATCAGTTTGTGATTCATACATTAGTATGATTTGTGCAAACTCAGGACTAGAATCCTAATGCCTCTGTTAGTGGAAATATTTCCATTGTAGCTCCCTATCTCCTTGAAATTGCCTTTGCATTTATTTTGTCTGATTTGAATGTGATTGGGGAAAAGGATGAGAAGTGGCTGTAAAAATCTGTTTGAAAAAATAATCATGCTTATTTTGTGCAGTGGTTACTCTATTTTCTTCAAAAGCACTGAAGTCTCTTACTGCCTTTCTAGCTCTAACAAGATTCTGTGTATGTATGTTTGGTAGTAATTAAAATGTTTTGAAGAATGAGCTAATGTTTAGTTTAGGAGGCCTTTAATAATCGTTTTGGTTTTCTTGAAGGTAGGTGGTGGGGTGGTTCTGCACAGGACATTTCTTTATACATCATTTAGCCCTACTGACTCTCAAGCTGTGTAATTGCTTTGGCAAGCCATTTTGCAATGTAGCACATTGTGCTATCTTGTTAATACTCCCCCCCCACCCCGATATTCCTATATGTTTTTTCTTTGTTTCCTTTCATTCATCGTTGATGGTTTCTGTTTCCAAAACTTTACAAACAAATAAACTAGGCAGAGATAACTTAAGAGTTATATAGACAACTTCCTCTAGCCCTAATGATTTTGTGCTTCTCAAAGTTCATTTTTGTTGGGTTTTTTGGACCTTTTTTCTGATGGAGATAGGGTCTGGGATATGTGTGTGTAATTCCATTACAACAGTGGCTGAAGTGTAGTGTAGAGATTGTGAAGCTAATTTTAATTAGTTGTGTTACATGCTGGGAGCAATTAGCTGTTTTTACCTTCTACTTCTACCAGTACCTAATCTGGCAAATTTACTGCACTGTGACTGTAGTAAAGCCATAAACAAAATCTGCATTTTAACAGATCTCTAGAGTTCACTGTTTTGTAAGGCAGTCCCTTTCCCACGCTGCCTTTAGCTTGCAGATGTAATGTTTTTTGGCAGCTGTATTGCATTTTAAACTCATTTCTAATTTGCCATCCATTATCACTCCTTAAGCACCTTCTGAAAATGCTTCTGCTTCCCAGACTCTTTGCACTGACTAGGTTATTTTTTGTATGTGCATGAGCTTATTGGGTTTTTCACGCTAGATTTTTTAAAAAACACTTAGTGGTAAAAGTGTGAATTTTTATATTAAAATGACACATCTTTATTGGAGGAGCTACAGTTTCTTGAAGGGCCTAAGACTCATTCGGATCAATTTTCTCACAAATTTTGTGATAATATATCTTGAAAAGTGCGTCCTTTATGTGGTGAGTGATGAATGTTATTGCTCTCCTTTATGTTCTGTTACAGGTATGAATGTTTCAAGTACAAGAACACAGTCAATTATCCACTGCTTTTCTTGTTAATAACATACAGCTTCGTAGTCAGCATAGTAAGTAACTTTTTCTAATATGGCATTTTCACCTGTAAGTTGACAGTTTTCCTGCCAGTGAAAGAATGTTATACAGGCAGTACTGAGTCTCTCGCTTCCAGTCAAGAAGGACAAATTCTTTTGTTGGGAAAATTTTATGTGCTGACCAGAGAAACCTGAAACCTTTCTATCTAAACCACTGTATATAATAAATGAAGAAGAAAAGCGATAACCCAGTTGCTAAAATAGGAATGTGAGAAAAAGTCACCATTGACTTGGTGTGAGACTTTGGACGAGCTGCATTCCTCATCTTCCCTCGCTTTAATTCATCTACAGAAATGAGAATAAACCTATTCAACAGACTGCAAAAAGTGAACTGTAATACATAGGCCAGGATTATTGACTGGTGGTGTTAAAACAGCTTAGCTGTTAAAAAAATTAGAAGAATTTTAACTGTGTCATGGCTAACTTGATTCCCTTTCTCAGTGCAGTGTGCTCCCTTTATGAATAAAATTAGTTTTGTGCTGGCTGTCAACCACAGATGGAATATCCTTTGTTATTTTTATTGATTACCATTTCTTAAAAAAAAGAAGTATCATAGGTCATCTTCTGCCTTCAACATACTTGTCTGTTCTCTTCTGTGCCTCCTAAAATTTTTTACACTTGTGGCATGTCATGCCTAAGGTCTAGTGCCCTTCTCTCTTCAAAAGCAGAAAGTAAATCAACCGCATTAACAGTAGGAAGAGCTACTAGCTTTTTGTAAAATGAATTGAAATGTTAAAGCATTGTCAAAAACATTAATAATAGCAAGTCAAAGTAGAGTACATTTTCTTCTTGCAATGCATATCGAGAATGTGTCTGGTAATTTCTGCATCTTAACTGTTTTTGTATGTGTTGCAACTCTATTAAATGAGGAGATTCTAGATGTTAAGGTCTCTATTTGTGCTTCTTAATTTAAAATAATTCCATAGTTAAAAACTCAGGTTTTGCCGGAGGATGCTTCAAATTTTTAATCAACTTTAATGGTGCATGGATAGGCACTCATGTCTTGGTTCTAACAGAACAAGTCTTGGCAATATTTAGATGAATAATGTTATGATCGTTCTCTGTTGCAAATTATTTCTCTTTTCTTTAATCTTTCCAGGTTTACTTAAATTTGAAAGAGCCTGTATTCCATCAGGTAAATCTTGCTGTGTTGGAGAAGCTAATCTTGTTTTTAAACTATGCTGTTTAAAATATTTTATGTTAATTTACATTTTAAACGTTTATGTTTAAAGTAATTTTGTTAAGAACAGTGACCGAATTTACTACTGATCTTGGACTTTTATTTCTTTAATCAATTATCTACTCAATCTACATGTATTGCAATAAATACATCAGAACTTTACTATATTCCCCAATCGGGAACAAGGGAAGCTTTAAACTGTTGCCTTGGACCTTTAATTTTTTGCATCTGGTTTCTCTTAGGTTCAGAATATGAATTCCCTGTTATAATTTATACATGAGGAATCAATGTAGAAGAGATTTAGGCCCATAAAAGTGCTGGACTTTTTACAACTCTTTCCAAATTTGATTTTATGGAGAACATACAGTTATGGCCAAATTCCAAACATTCAAGTACTGCACTCATTTTTTTCACGCTCATTGCCAAATATGTTGTAAATCCAGAGGAAACATTTCTCTGACTACACAGCTAAGAAAGGTATTTTCTTAATACTTGTCCTTTATTTTAGAGTTCACAAAAAAAACCCCACACCAATCCAAACCTCGATATAATTTCAGTAAGCATTTTCCAACTGAATGGGTCGCATAGACTTGAAGTAAATTTAAATATGCTCGTGTAATAATAGTTTAAATTACAGTTTCGATCCCTAACTGTATTGGAAAGCAGCATCAGGAGATAAAGCAGCATTTGATTCCTCTAGGTATTTGTCTGTGATCATCATCATTTGTCAGTCTTACGAAAAGGGGAATAACTACATGGACGGCTTTATATTGTTCATTGTTTCAGTGTGGTTTTTTCTGTGAAAGAAGCAATAAGAATGGAGAAGGATCCTATTATATTTAGCAGTCAGGATCCAAGCCTCATTTTTCAGTGAATTACTTTCTACTTTCCTTCCCAACTTAGGCTCATAAATTGCTTACTGCCAGCAGGGCATGAGGGGGATTTCAGTTTGTTATTCATAGTACAGTGGCAACAGAGACCCGCTTCTTTTTCTCCATCTGTATATTGCAGATCTTTAAGGGTCTTAGTGCTTTAACCGTAGGAAGGATGAGATGCGCGTTTTGGTCAGTTGGAGGCTACACATCATTAGAAGGAAAAAGCCACTTCTCTGCCTGACAACTGATGTGGTATTTTTTGCTGACTCGTCAATTAAATGAAAGATAGCAGTGGCCTTTAGAAGCATGTATTGTCTTGTTTATGTCAAAATCTCTCAGGCTAGAGCACTATTATTGCCTAATTTCCATGGTGCTAAACAGCCCTACATCCCAGTTTCCTAGTTGTTTCTAAGCCAGCTTCATTGTCAAAGAAAACAGCTATGCCTGTCCACTCTTTCCCATCTGGCACACACATTTACTCTCTGATGTGAATTTGATTGGGGAACTCAACAGGTGAAAACTCTCTTCAGAATTAGTTTTAAATCCTTAAATCAGATTAGTTACTCATCCCTGTTTACTGCATGTGTATTTGTGCTTATACAAGGAAAGAGGTGGGGGAAGGCTGGCTGCTGGTGTGGAGTGATCCATAGACACAAATTAAGATGGCCCTGGAAGAAGAAGAAATTACCTTGGCAGTTAAACTTTTAGCCTCGAGTCTTAGGAGTAGCCTTCTTTCTAATATGACATGGCCTAGAAAGCTCTCACCTACACAGCACTGTTTTCCATCCTGATTTGTTTACTTGCTGCATACTGTATACTGGCTGTACGCTTGTAGCGATCAAAAACCTCATTCAGCTAGTGAGCCAAGTTATGTGAGTCATGAAATAGATCCAAAACCCTGTTTTATTTGCATAGTCATCTGCTGCAAGCGTTTGAAGCAAATTTTGAGCAAACAAATAATTAAAAGGTAGATAGAAGAAACAAGTTATTTAATCTAATTTTCTAAAACAAGTCTTTTTTTATAGACGTTCTAGAAGTGGTGTTATGGTGTCCCATGAGAAACTAAGCAAGCTGGAGAAGTAGATCAGTATGAGAATTGCAAATAGGGTAAGGGAGTGACTAGTGGAAAATGACTAAAGGAGATGATGAAAGGCAGTCTCAGTTGGGACTTTCTTGGGATCAGTAGTGGGACTGTTTTTATTTAATGACCTGTAGCAGGAAAAACAGTGTCATGTACTGATGATATTTGTGATGATCTGAAGTTCAGAGGCATCACTGAGTACAAAGGAGGAGATGAAGAGATAACTGGGAGACCTTGAAGACCAGGATGACAAGTGATTCAGAATGGAAGAGCATATACTGATGGGCAAATAACAACTATTCTTGTTCTAAACTGCACACAGATCACCAAAGGAAGGAGGGAGTGTCTGGATGTGTTCGCTGATCACAGCATAATAATATGACCAGTGAATTTTCTGCAACAGTGACAGAAGTAAAATACAAGTGTTGGATTTACCAGTTAAGGTGACTTTGGGTAAAAGGGAGAGAGTGAACATGGGAGAAAAAAGTATTTCATTTGCCTCAATGAAAAAATTAATAAAACTGTTCTCCATAGGTGTTTTAAATACACAAATGCAAAGGAGGAAGTGAAGTCATGATGAAATGTGTATGTAGAAGTACATATGGGAGCCTGAAGCTGCATGAGGAATGTGTTATGTCAGGACAGAACATGTTCAAACTTACAGGACTCCCCATTTTGGGGTATCTGTGTGGACCCACTCAATATCCTGCAGCTCTCCAGGGTCCTTCCTGCTGCTAAGGCAACAGTTAGTTGTAGGCTTGTAGCTTAATATATTGTGCCTTTTAGTGGAAAGTGTTCTTATTTTCTATATGCTAAGGTCATGAAGCAGTCTGTTAAAAATGACGTTGTTGGGGCATGTCTTCACCACAGAGCTTTCTCTACTTGGGCATAAAAAAAACCACATATAAAACTAATTCAGTGACATTTCACTCTGTTATACAGCTTGTTTGGGGATATCTTCCAGAAAGCAAGTACAGCTTTCATTCTGGCTAGTGCTTCAACCTGCACAATAGCTTAGGGAATGTGGAAAGATGTTCAGACTTTCCAAAGGATCAGCTCTACAAGTCATGGAAGGGGAAGCTCAGTTTACTGCTGCAGACAGTGTCCCAGAAGCTCTGGAGAGCTGCTCTGTGCCATGTAGCAGCAGTGACTTGTCTGTCGCTTTGCCATCGTGTCCGTGCATCTAAACAGGACCAAACCAAGTGCAGCTGAATTAGTTCATTCAGGAGCTGTCAAGGCAGCATGTAGTACTAAACAGCCATAAATCTGCTGAGTTACTCGGTGTTTCAGTGTCATCGTGGAGATTGTCCTGCCTTTTTCTCTCTGCTCAGATTTCTTTTCCAGCAATTCAAGAATATGTAGAAGTCCATTTTCTTTGTTGTAAATTGAAAGTAGTTTCCAACTTCAAGTACTTAGGCTAACTATCTTTTGATAGCTGGTTAGTATATTAATAGATAAGCAATGGTTGCGAAGAACCCAAAATCTCACAGTGTGGTTCCCAATGTGTACACTAATATTTAAGGCTAATAAATTGACTTTATTAACCAAGCATGGGCAGAAGGTTGGGAGCAGAGGAAACAGAGAAGTGGAAATAACAGGCTATTGCCGCTTTCTGTACTAGAAGGGTAGATGAAGAACCAGTTTCATATGCTCCCCCCAGTGTGGAGTACCAGCCTTACCTCCAACTTGCCTAAGAAGTGAATCTACACGATTTGCTTAACTGCCTCCACATCAAAAATGCTACCAAACACTGAGCCCTGAAATGCTTATTTCCCATTTGTGAATTAGAAGGGTGTTCTTCATATTTGGCCTTCTTATCATGTAATCCACTGTGTATTAATAAGATAAGACTTTTTTTTCCCAAGATATGGGCTTCAAAGCTGAAGTACATGCAGCTTTATTTGCATCTTATCATAGAATCATTATGGTTGGAAGAGACCTCAAAAATCATGAAGTCCAACCGTATACCTGACACCACCATGCCCACTAAACCCACTAAACCAATCTTAAACTAATCTTAAACAGCAAAGAGGGAACTGTCCAGTGATAACAAAAGATGATGAGATTCTGCTGTTTTCTGTTGTTTCAGTTGTAGTGCAAGAGTGTTCTTTGGCTTACAGTTTAAAGGCACTGTGAGACAAAATAGCATAAAACTTGCTTAGGTTTTCATCTGTCACTTAAGTGATGTATGAGTTACAATGAACAAAGGGAGCTAAAGAAATTGAAAAATTTGAGTCAACTTGAATAAAATAATTTGGGGGTTTTTTTTATTTTATACTTTAATCCTTCTTTGGGTGGATGGATAATACCTAACAAATTTTTGGCATGATGAAAATAGTAAGTCCATGGGTGGTAAAGGAGTAAAAGTAAGCACTACTCCCTGAAGTATAAACTAAGTTGTGTAGTTTGGTTTATAGGCTTCTAGTAAGAAACAGCTGTAGCGAGAGGTGCAACTACAGTCTCTGCACATCACAGCAACACCTCCTTGATGCTTGCCGTCAGCGTGAAGGGGAGGACTGGAGCATGCGGAGCAGAACAGTTTGTTTTTCCAGTCTTTCACAGGCTTTTAAACACGAATGTGTTTTACTGCTAACAACCTGTTTGTGTGGGGGAGCGGAAAAGGCAAGAAATTGAAGTGTCAACTGTGGGCATATTTTTCTTCAGTCACTGCAAGGTTCTTTTTATTTTTTTCCTTCCTCCCTCCATTAAGACTGTCCTTTTCTGCAAGCCATTAAGCAACTCACTAGGAGATATCAAGCCAGAGGCTCTACAAAGAAAGCTTTTCTTAGCTTTTGCTCTTTCCTGCTTTTAGCAGCTGCTGCAACAAATAGCATTTTTAGCCTGTGTTTTACCTGGGCTTTGGGCTATGAGCTGTATTTCTCTAGGTGTAGTCTGACACTATTTAATGTCTTGTCCAAAGAACCCAAGAACAAATCAGATAAAAGCATGAAGGTGGTCACACCCCTAATAGGTATGAGAGAAATTTCTCTTCCTGGGTAGGTTTTTCCACTGTCTCCGCTGCAGAAGAGCATTTTGGCAATGGAAATTGTGGGAAGGAGGAGATCAGCAAGGACAGGGCATCAAACTCTCATTGAGGTTCCAGAGGAGCCTTTCTATGAGTTTCTTCCGCTGTGCCATCCCAGTCTTAGAATAAATTACTGGATTTGATTAGGAAAATGAAAAAAGGCTGTTTTAAATGAGACTGATGAAGTAAAATGGCATTTAACTTTTAAACGTAGTCTATATTTGTTATATAGTGAGGTCTTTTTAGGCAAAATGATGAAGAATTATACCAGCACACCTGAGCGGGTCCCCTTTCTACCTTTAGCTTGGGACTGATGAGCACTTGATACTCGAGTTGTGTCTAGCAGGTTTTGTTGGGTTGGTTTGTTGGGGTTTTTTTGTTGGTTTATTTTTTCCCCACCCCTGATTTTTGTGCTGTACTCCAGCAAGGGCACTGGAATTAGCTAACAGTTTTGTATAAAGTAGAAGCCAGAACCAATTAGCCTTTCAAATAGTTTTGCTTTGTTTAGCTCTACAGAGCAGAACACACAGTAGTAGTAGTTTAGTTACTGAAGTTATTTGATCTCACTCTGAATGCAAATAAAGAGCTGCTGTGCTGAATGACTTTGCATAGTCAATATTGGAGCTTACTTTTACCTGTTGTCAGAGATAAGGACTCTGTTGTCTGTCTTGTTCTGTATATATGCACTGATAACATGGTGTGCGCTACTAACCTCATCCTTAAAGCTAAAAGGAGTTTGAAAATTTGCCTTTATGGACTTTGGAAAGGTAGGTTTCACTGCGTTACTACAGCGATGTATTTTATGTCAGATGACTAGACACGTGCATATGCTTGCAGGATAGTAATAGCTGAATGCTCTGGTTCCAGCAGAGTAGGAGGTTGTCCTTGCCTTGAAGACAGTGTAGTCTAAAAGTAGGAAAGGTATGAGGGGATCAGTAGAACACAGTAAGGACACTGGTTTGTAAACACACCTCTGTGAGGTTTAGTGGCTTTTAAAAATAGGCAGCAAAGGTTTATCATTTTTCTGTTTCACGTAAAACAAGGCAGCATTAGATAGGAGTTAACTAAAAGCAAAATGAGAAAGGAAAGTCAATGAACAAGGAAATGAAAAATAGCAAGGGGCTTGTGGGCCACTGGAGAGAAGCAAAGAGCAAGGCACAACTGCTTGGAACTGCCTTTTGCTGGGAGGAAAACTGTTCAGAATAAAAAGCGTGGAGAGGAATTTCATGTCACCAGTGTCTGAAAATCCTCCCTGCTGCAGTGGCTTCTGCATCACTGTTCAGGCATGACTGACCACATTTCTTCTCTTCTTTAGTCTGTACGTCTTGGTGTTCCATGGATCCTAAGCTTGTGAATAAAAAAAAGGGAAAGTGATTTCAAGATCACGAGGCAGAAAATAAATGATTACTTTGACTTTTTATATAAGTCGGGCAATTACATTCAAATTCATCAAGCCTAGGATGAGCCAGATTTTGCTCATGGATCTTTTCAGAGCGTGCAGCCTTCTCACTGTACAATTAGATTGAATCCCAACAATCTGTAATGGTTTTAAATGCTTCCTGGAAAGTTTCTTCCATACTGGTGCTCAGTGTGGGCATAGTGCATAGTCTATTCAGGTGTTTGTTTTCAGGAAAAAATATTAATCAAATATCAGTGAAGGAATTATAGCTTTCAAAAACGGTTTTAGCTGATTCATATGCAATCCTGGGCTAAAATGCTCAGCTATGGAAGAGATGATAGGAGTTAGTTACCATTTTGATTTCAGGATGCTTGCTGAGTGCCATCTAGCGTTTGCTTTCTGATTCAAAAAAGTGAAACAGCGATTTTACACAGCTGACTTCTTGTAATTGCATAAAGGACATGGTTTATAATCATCCTTTTATTCGAAGCTTCTATGGAAGACTTTCTGGAGAGTAAGTTAGGGCAAATACTGTTTTCCTGAGACTAAGAAACAAAAATCAACAGAGGCTTCAGAAATGTTTTACTCCCGTAGTGTTTTGTAAAGTCTTTTGAATACAACTGCTGAATTTTATTTCTGTTTTTATTTCCAGATCATGTATGGAACGCTAGTTTCCATTATAGTTCTACGATCTGTTTATATAGTATTATGGTAAGTAACAGTTTAGTTCAGCATTACGAGATACAGCTTAGCATTTGCATTTTTTTTTGGTGGGCTTAGCATGAGAAATTGGCAATGGCAAAATGTCTTGAACTAGATACATGACGCTGGCTCATCTGCTCTGCTTGGTTGAAAGGGAATGGCTCATCTTGCATTTTTTTGAAGCCACTGGGATAACATTAAACAAAACTGAGATCTCTGCACTTTTGATCAGTATTCACTGCCAGTTCTTCTGCTGGTGGCTTCAGCTGTTAGCCTGGGACTTCAAGGGGAGTGGAGTTTCTGTCTTCATATTGCTGGGTAACATGTGAAATCTATTGCCAGTGTCCAAACTCTAATGATGATACTTGCGAGAGAGGTGAGAGTAAGAATGCAGAGCTGAACCATCAGTTAATAATTTCCTTTCCTCTTCCCTATTCAAGTATCTAAAATTCAAATGTAAAAGCTAGTAACACAGGTTAGATGATAATTTTCCTTAGAGTTTTGACTGGGTAAAGTTAGGTATACATTATGGAAATTAAAATAAAAACTATTTATAACAAACAAAAGTGTATTAGAAATGGTAGGAGACATTGAGAAGCATTAGAATCATCAGAGCACAAACTTGGTAGGTCAAAGTGAAGAGAAAGGAATTGAATCAGTATTGAGTAAACACATACCTCTAGCTCTTAGGGGCTCAGTTGGTTGCCCCTTCCTGTCTCTCTGCTGTGAATAGTTGATACTCTCATGTGTTTGGGGATTGCCCCTGAAAATTACTCATTTCTCTCTACTGTCTTCATTTAAAATGTGCTTTTTGTTGAACTTTGTTTCGAGTTACATATGTATCTGTTTGGAAACACAAGTCATTTAACAAAAAGTGTGAATTTAAAGTAGATTCATTGAATCACCTTCCAATTGCAATTTCAGTTAATTTGGTTTGACTTTCCCCAAGAAATCCCCACAGACCAAGTGTAAATGTTAACAGACTTCTATTAAGCAAGAAAAACAACTTTAAACTGATAGCATGTTGCTTGCAGCTTTAGAAACAATCATCGGTTTAAAGGCACTTTCCAAACCCATAAACATGGAAATTTTAATCCTAGTGTAGAGATCTGACATGATATTACCTTAATTCACTTCCAGGAAACTAAGTTGAACCAAGTTCAGGTCACTTTACTTTTGTTCTTATACAAGGATTTAGCACAGTTGTAGTCACTTAGAATTAAATTTCTTTCTGTCTGTGTAGGCAAACCCTTGGGCTTGCTATTTTTCCAGTTCTGCAAATTCCACATACTTGTGCATTCTCATTATTTCTGAAGCATTTTGTTGTCTTCTGTCACTATCAATAACACCACCATCCTCCCTCCCAGGGTATCTCATTGTTTTCCTCTAGCAAAGACAGTCTCTGAAGTTCGACCTGCATTTTCACTTCAATTTTAGGGGTTTGGAGTGTATTTTCTTAATTGGCTAGATTGCTTCATTGCAACATGGCCCTACAAAGACTTGCGTCCCCCTTTGGTTATATTATGCCAACTGATTAGAAAGTTGGGATAGGGAGATGTAGGTTTAAACTACTTCTAAATTTTAACTAAACTAATTTTAAATTAGTTCTGCTAGAGAAGCTGTGCCAACCTGAAGGTACCTTTTCTTTTCTCTAAATGTACACTTTTGAATTTACTTCCTCTGCATTGCTAAAACATTCCTGTCTTTCCATGGATAGCACTAGCTCTGTCCAAGCCTGTTTCAGCTTACGTATGGACTCCAATTTCTGCTTGTTTTGTTTCTTGCTTCCTTAATATATATTAGCTTCCTATCATTCATCATATCTTACTGTGGGGCTTGAAGTCTGTCCAAGCCTGTTTCAACTTACATATGGACTCCATTTTCTGCTTGTTTTGTTTCTTGCTTCCTTGATATATATTAGCTTTCTATCACTCATCATATCTTACTGTGGGGCTTGAAGTCGCTCGGGGCTTAGAGTAAAAAATCTCGAAGAACAGCATGTTGTTCCTTCCAGGCTGCTACCTCCTCCTATCCTCATAATTTCTTGCTGTTCCTGCCCGTTTCTGCCCGATTCTTCATTTCTTTCTTGGGTCTGCTTCCTTCCCGAGATTACAGCTTGGCAAATGTTGTTCTTTGTTCACAAAGCATGTTCCCTATTAATAAGTGATGCCAACCTCTCTCTTGTTCCTTCACAAAACACCACCATTTATTCCCTGAGCAATTCTAGCTATAATTACCTAATTACCAGCATGTATAACATACCATTTAGTGCTCTTTCATGTCCTGGGCTTGCTTATGCCTCTAGAGCACTGAGTCGGGAATATTACAGTGTAGTCTCTACCATGTACCCTATGGTGCTCCATGCATTTATTAGACTAAACAAATGATAATTTTGCTAGTTTATATTGGCAGTACACTTGTTAACATGTACAACTTATATCTGGTTAGCTTGCCCTGTGGAAGAAGCTCTACCTGTTGTGTTTTGTACATGTTGGTTGTCAGTGCTCACAGCTCTGAAACATGCACTGTGTATAACATGGTGGGGAAGAAGCAGCTCGGAAATGTGTTTTAACCCAGAATCTAAACTGTGCATTCATAATGCTTAAAAATAACTTGAACAGTAATTCATGTCAGCCTTTTAGGGATGGGATTGGGTTTGGTTTTAGACTTGTCATTTTAATGGGAAAGGAGCAAATGCTACCAACTTCCATGTAGGAAGTTTACAATTCCATGATCCAACCTGAATGCAGATAGTGAGGGTAAATTTATTAATGGTGCACTTTCTTGCATCTGATTCTTCAGTGTGTTTCCCATATCCTAAAGAGGATTTTCTTTTTTTCCTCCCAAAATGAACTTGACATTTTTCCATCCCCGATAGCACTTAATAATAAAATACAACACGAAATTACTGTTTTCTAAAACCATTCATTTGGCTATTTGTTGGTCGTGGTGGTCTATGTTCACAAAAGACTACAGTCACTTCGAAAGATGTTACACAAGTCCTGTAGTATAGGGATATCATGTATTGGAAAAGAGCCGCCTCTTTTGGGAGATTCCTGATTTGTAACATGGCTGGGTTTTAACTGAAGGATTATACATGGGACTGAAGAATTAGTACCTTTTAGACAACTTCAGTTTTCCCACTTACTACTTGTGTTAGGAGAGAGCAGTATTTAGGGGAACAATTAGAAACATAGAAGTAAAACATTCAAAAAACGAGTCTTGGAGTACGTGAATTCAGGAGAACAGGGAGGAGGTTAAATATAATACTTAAATAGATGAGATTTAAAGTTGATATTTTTCCTTTGGGGGAAAAAAAAAGGCAGTTTGTTTATATGTAATAGTATTTATGTATGTTACAAGCTGCCTTTAAAGCATCTTCAACTAAACTTTGCATTATTTCTCTCTCTCTAGGGTATACCCATGGCTTCGAGGTCTAGGCTATACGTCTTTAACTGTATTTTTAATGGGATTTTTTCTCTGGAATGTGGACAATATTTTCTGTGATAAATTGAGGTGAGTTCTTTCACTTTGTCTAGATAGGTCTTAATAGTCTTTTAGCATAAAGCTTTGTTTTTTCAGTGGTTTATATTCAAGTCCGTCTCATGGTATGTATGGTACACTGCCTACAAAACATTCCATGAGTGTTTTATCCAGTTTGCTCATGATTAGATTCAGCACTCAACAATTTTTTTAACTTTTTAATTTTTTTTAAATAATTGATATTTCTCTTTACCTTTAGTTTAAATTGAGAGAAAGTAATGTCACTGAAGTAATTTTGAGGATCTGTGGCTTATTAAAGCCTGCTATTCACACTTCATTTCATCTGAATGAGTTTTTTATTCTGCCTTCTTTTTTTTTTTGGTTTCTGCTCTTGCCATTTCCCAGGAAAATATCAAAAGCAGTAGTTCTGCAGGTTAAAGAAATGTCTATTGCAATACATCTGTCACCAACAAACAACAGCTATTTGAGCATCTCAGAAAGAACAGTAACTCTGAGCCAGTACACCATGCTTGGCAGCCATTATTAGCCTGAAGTCTTCTGGCTTAGCCCTTGTAGAGGAGGCAAGGAGAGACTTCCTTTCTGTTCAGTCTATTGCCAAATGGGATAAAAAAGGCTTCCAGACAAAGCTTGTAGGAACCCATCATGTCATCGTATGGCTAGATATCCTGTCTGTGCAAAGAACAACACCAGTCCAACAGATTGTTCTCTTAATGTGTGTTCCTCTGGAACTGGACAGCTGCACCTTTCTTTCGCTTAGTTGTGATGCTTGTGTTTTCCTACAAGCTGGAGGAGACGGAAAGGTTGATGCCAGCATCCAGAAAATCCATTCTTGATCCTCTGATATACCATTACGCCGCTGGATCTGGGGTGTACAGAATCGTCCTAGTAGGTTGCTTTGTCAGGGTGGGATCATAGCATGCTGTGAAGAAGGCTGGTGTTTTCCATCTGTCCCTTTTGGCTCTGTAGTCCTTGCACTAGGCTGGGCCAATTGAAAGTTAACTCCAACAGGGTTTTCTTGAAACTTTTTTTAAAAAAATACAAGTGTACTGAATATAATACACAGCGCCTCATCCCTAGAAACAGTTGATAAAGATGGCATAGAAAAGTTATTTGCCAACGCAGGTGGGTGGGTGTACAGTGACTTTGCAAATATTGGCATCAGGGTTGATTTTTTGCAGCTGCATCACATCACTGGTGAGATCATAACCCCCAATTCACTAAGCCTGCTGAGCTGCTACAGGTCCGTGGGGCTTTTGAACTTGTTCCTAGACTCAAAGATTAAACCAGCTGCTGAAGCACTTTTTTCCATCCTCATTTTGCAAAGGGAAAAAAAAAATAGCATATTTCCTGTAATACTTGCTTGCTTATGGTGCTGGAAAAAACCCAAATATGCTTGTTTACTAGATTTAATCAGATGTCTGCAGAGCCTTGAATTTCTCCAGGTGGTATTATAACTTGAACCTTTGGAGAAAATATATTCCAGTTCCTTGTAACTTTTTATTCTCTAAAGATCTAACTGGTGAATCATCCACCTACCTGTTCTTTTGGGTTTTAATGTTCAAGATTGAATTTTGGTTCAGTTTTTGTTTTTCTGTATTTCATTAAATTTGGAGCTTATTTAAAAAAACAAAAACAAACAACCCCCCCCAAAAAAAAAAACAAAAACCAACCGAAAAAACATGTCTAGCACTCAGCTTCCCTGGTTGGATCTATGCATTTTTGAATTTGAGCTTTGAGATTTCCTGCCATCCAAAGGCTTGGAGGCTGTACCGGGGTGACAGTCTGTGTGTTCCAGTATGTCATTCCTGGGCTGACTGAATTGAAGCTCTGTGTTTATATCTGTGACTGAGCAGCTCTGGAAACTAAGCAGTAGCTCAGGGATTAGCATTTAGTCAGGAGGACTGAACGCTATATAACATCAAGCAGTAAATAAGTATTACAGAAGCTGCAGATTTTTCTTCCTTAATGCCTGCGATCATTGCTTTCCCTTTTTTGTTTTGACTGAATGTGAAATGAAAGTCAAAGAAGACGACAGGCAGATGCAAACATTTGCTCCACTGTCAACCAAAATAGGCATTATCTGCAGAAGCCTAGTGAGCAGGAGGAATCAGGGCAATGTAGTTCCTTCCCTTTCTTTCTCTATCTCCATCCCTTAGCCTCTTCCCAAGCACCTCACACCCCGTAACTGCGCAAAATACAAAGCATGTTGGCAGAGTATTTCAGACCCTTTACTTTCTTTGCTTCCTCACTAAACACCCATTTTGTCCCTGTTTTAGAGTACAACAGAGAAAGGCAAGCTGAGCTTCCATGGAGCTGGAGAATAGGTGGTGTGATTGCCAAATGTAAAATGGTGATGTCTGATAAATCCCATTTCCTCTCTCAGACCTTAAACTCAGCATTTCATCCGATGGACAGTAGTTCACCAGGTTTTGGGGAGGAGAATGGTAGAACTCATTTGAGACAGTGGGATGCCATAACTATATTGCCTGAAATTTGAGTCCAGAAGTGACTGATCACTCATTGTATGAAGAAGTATTTGCTTTCTTTAAACTGTGTAAGAAAGCCAGTTTGCTAATACCTTTCTATACTGGCAGTGTAAGATCTAACTGCTGTTCCTCACCTGCTGAAAGCCTGACTATGTGAAACCTCACTCGTGAAGCACGTGCCTGAGATACAGAAACAGTAATGTGTGATCTGACAATCAAGCGCTGCGATTTGAGATTGCTTAGCTTGAAAAATAAACCATTGCATGGTGTTTCTTTCTTACAGAGCACTACGAGAGAAGATGCCTCCTGTTGTGGGAGCTGTGACACAGTTTCATGCATGGTGGCATATTCTCACCGGCCTGGGCTCTTACCTTCATATCTTGCTAAGGTAGGAAATGTTTTCTAAACTGGATGTTCATAAAGCACTCTTAGGAGTTTTCTCAGGTGCAGATTTACTTCAGAATGTTGCATTGTCCAGAAGAGCAGAAAAATGACTTCCTACTAAACTGGTGGGAATTTTTTTTATTTTCCTCTTTGCAACTGGTCTAAAAACTCTCCAAAAGTAATTTATATTCTTCAAAATCATTAATCTTTAAATAGCCATAGTTCTTTGGGAAAAACGTAACTCAGAAATGAGAACCCTCTAGCAGTTAAACTGGAAAACTATTTGACAGTATATTAATTTCAAAACGTAAGATATTAATACCTTTCTGTTCTTGAGCAGCAATCCTGAAGTACTTAAACATACTGAATTTTAGAAGCATAGCTAACCTCTTTGATAGGCAGTGTCGCTCCTGAAAACTAGCAGGCATCATGCTATAGGGCAGAATGGTGATGGCTGAAGTGGTTGGAGCAGAGCTGTTCCCAGCAGGGCAGGATATTAGTTTTAGAAGGAGACTTAAACCAGAGCCTAAGTTAGCAAGCCTGCAGCCAGCAGGTTTTTCTCTTGTTTTTGCTCTATACCACCATCTAGTGGAACCAGGAGCAAAAATAGAATTTAAGCTGGAATCTGAAGAATTTCTGCGGTTTGTTCATTATATTATGAGATAATATTTTACCACTTAACCATAACTAAAAAAATGTCTGTTTAACAGATACATTCTCTGTAGTTGAGGAAACTTGATTACATAGCAGTTTTTCTACGTCTAACATGGTATTCACCTTTTATATCAGATGTTAAAATAACTAGTAAAAGGAAAATGCAAGGAAATTAAGTACAGTTCCAGTAGCTGATCTGATACCTTTTTTAATATATACATGTATGTGTATATACACACATATTTACATTTATATATGCGTGTGTATATAAGTACATATATATGTATCTATACATATGTACATGTATATATACATACGTACATTTGTGTGTGTGTATACAGATATATATATAAAATATGCAAGAGTATGTGGAAAACAACTGCCCTGTTTTGGCTGACAGGTTGTCTGCTGCCCTAAACAGCTTGAGAGAATCTTTTAAAGAAAATTCCTTACGGAAAGCAAGCTGACGCAGAGCGTTTGGATAGCATAGGCAAGGTTTTTCCAGTGTGCTGCACAGAGAAAATAATTTGGGTTTGCATCCTTTAGCCCTTGGGGAATGTACAGATGCCTGATTTGTTTGTCCTTCCCCGATGAACTACATACTTTCCCTGCAGTAGTTTCCCTAGTATTTTCTCAGCCACACAGTGGCATCACCTATGTCTACTTAAAGTGAGATCATACACAGGAAAAGATCTATGGAGGGAAGAGAGTGTATAAGAACAAAAATGAGATACAGAATAAGCTATGCTGTTTTGCCCACCAGCCCTTAACATCTGCTATATTTTGTGGTACACTGATTTAATTTCATCCTTCCAAAATGACAGCCTCTAGTCCCTGTTTAGTCTTTTCCATAGTGGACAGAGAATTTATTTCTCTGGGTTTCTCTCTTTCTCCCCACATAGGTGATAGGGTAGATTAGTTTCCTAATCATAGTCTCGCACAGAGGGATTTGCTGTAGGCTAATGTCTCCTATTTTGCATAAATCTAGGCAGAATGGATAGCTCTGCAATCACAGAAGCAATTCTTTTCTAGTTGGAAAATAAAACTGGGATTAGTACATCGTTATTATTTTATATGCTGTCTTATACATGAAATTTTAAGCACGCTTTTCTCCTCTTCCTCAGTTTATACACAAGGACACTTTTCCTGAAACACAGGCCAAAGGTGAAGGTAAGCAAGCAATATTTTATGTCCGTTAATGCACTGCAGTGTTTGGGTATCTTCTGCTTTGAACTTTCACTGGGGCTCACTGATTATGCCTGTTAGAGTACTCTTTGATTTCTGCTTAGATCTCAAGAAATGCAGTTGAAATGATGGTTAACAGTATTTGCTTTCTGTTCCAAGAGACATAATATTCCAGGAAATCTTTTCCCTCTTCCTATTTTTCTTTTAACAGTTTGTTTTTGGAATATGGCCTGTTCTTCTTGTGGAGCCGCCCAAGAAGCTTTGACTGAGACCTAGGCAGTCACATGCGATCACCTAGCCTGGCTGAATAAAGCGATTCAACAGTTACTATGGCTGAAGTGTCAAAATTATGGGTCAAGTACCATTGCTATAAAAGGACTTCTCTGTGTTACTAGGCCAGCCGGCCAGAACAGAGCAAAGAGTTGGCACACTAGGGAAATAATATTTAGTACAGCTTTATTCTAAGTTGTTAAAACAAAGATTAAGACACAATATTTTTATGTATATATTGTATAGCTGATGATACTGAGCTAATATTTCGTGCTGGTCACAGAAAACTAACCATTTTTGAAGTGGATTGCATATGTTTTTCATTCAGTTGTTGTTCTTTCTGTGGTTTAAACTAATATTAGCAACTGAATGATAAAAACAGGCCATTGATGGCCAAGCTAAGCATTTGTGCGGCCTATAGTGAACTGAATGCTTAACCTGAACTACTTTAATCTTGCACTTTTATACAATTAATGAAGTATGTAATGATTGATTTAGGGCTTTATTCTGTCTTGCTTTTCCACAGCCTCCTTTGCAATTTATATTTTAAGCAAAATGGTTGGGATACCTGTGCCATTTAGTTAATTTTGTACCAAGCTTCCATTTTCTCTTTAGTCCAACTAAGGTACATCGTGGAGGATGTTCCAGGGTGTGACCAGCAGAAGACACTTGAGATAGTGAAGCATTATAGGGGTTCTTGTTGTGTGGAAACTGAGTTCCTAATTTGTTTGACCAGTGATCCATCAGGAGACTGCAGGGTAACTGCATAAACACAAGAACCACTTTTTTTTTTGATAATTATTATTTACATGGCTCCCTTTTCTGTCCCTACTTTTTACTTCCTGTGTCCCATTCATACTACAGATTGACAGACACCTTAGATGTGTGCTAGTTCAGCTTTGAATTCCTCTCTTTCCTTTATTTTACAAATCTTAAATAATGATGTGACTTTCAAAAGCATCTTCTTATTCAGAAATATTGAAGAAAGAGTAAAGAACAAGATTGATGTTGAGGATACCCCAAAATAATAAATAGCAGCACTTTGATTGCTTGCTTTTGATCTGTCCATCCCACGGTTACTCTGTGGAAAGTTGACCACCTTTTTAAAACCAAACGTTGGGGATTAATGGGGGAGACAAACCCTCTGGTTTCTGCAATTTTTATCGACCCAGCTGATGAAACTTAATAAGTAAGCCTAAAGAAAACATTGAACTAACGCAGTTTTTCAAATTATACCTCATATTGGAGGCTGTGGTTTTGACTCTTCAGATCTTGGGGCAACTAACAGTCTGTCTCCAGGCCTCCTAGCTGCCATGCTATGCAATTTTTGCCTGCTTTTGATTCACCAAGGAATTTATCCTTCTTACCATGAATGAAAAAGGGAAATGCTCAGACTGATTGGAAATCCAATTCTGTATTGATTTAAAACATGCTGACAGCAGCAAGGCATGGTAATGTGGCTATAAAGTTGTCTCGCAGATCACAGAGTCCTGGCTATCGTACAATCAGCACTGACTGAAATGGTCTCCTCCCTTTAATGTCTTTTTTTCTGTTTGCAGCTTAGCTGCATCTTCCGTGTCCATCAGTAGCACTCCTGCTGATGTGAATCGCCAAATAAAATCGTGGCTTTTGTTATGTGACTGACCCTGAACTCTTGGGATCAAATAGACCCAAACTTGGGGCTAGAGAAAGATACATAAGCTTGAGTGACTTCAGTGATGGTTAAGCACGTGCCGATAGCAGTGCATTTCAATCTGTAAACCAATATAAAGACTCCCGAACAATAATTTCGGAACAAATTTGTTGTCAGTAGGCTCCAGTTCCAGAGACAAGGTCAGCATCTGTGTTGGGAAATTTGAGTGATCTTCAGACTGAAAGAGGTTGGAATAGCTAGCATAGACGTAGGAAAATACTGTCTCGGATCAAGTGTCTTTAATTATCTAGAAGGCATATTTTTTGTAAAGAGATTTTAGAACTGTTTTAAAAATGTAGCTTAAAAATAAGTGCCTGCCTGTTCACCTCCAGGCTCTCTCAAGCATGCTTCTGCACACTGTGTCCGATTTTCTTACTTAGTATGTTTACATGTCTTCCTAAGAAAAAAAAAAACCCCATAATAGGAGCAGTGCAGTAACGAGACATGTCAGCAGTCACTTGTGACATCTGCTAGGTATGGTATTATTTTTAAGAAAATGAACAAAACCTTTATTTTAGTGGCCTTAGATTTGTTACTGGAGGATCTGGGCGCTCTGTTTGGTTTCCCTGTAGTTGCAGGAACCAGAGTGTGCTGAAAAGCCACTTTCTTACTGATAAGGCATCTCTACAATGGTGTATTTTAAAGAAATTTATTCATTCTCCTACACATTTGCAACTAGGTGGTGTATGGTTTTTTTCAGATCTTGTTGAATTAAATTGTCAGGATTTAAAAAAGTTGGAAAAGTTCTTGTTTTAATTTTATGCTGCTGTTAACTTTTCAGTCACATACCATTTGTCACTGATGTTTTTATCTTTAAAAAAAATTATGCAAATTGGCTTCTTCCTTCATTCCAAATGACCAAAACATGCACACCTCTACCACCCTTCCAGCAGCCTTTCTTTCAGGTTATGTTAGACCCTAAGAATGTAATTTACGTGTGTATCCTTCTAAGCATAAATAATCTAAAGTTATGGGTGCTTTGGTTTGACTGCCTTACTGATTTTGTGAATGATATAGAAAATGGCAAGGCAGTTTTAACTGCATGTCACTGAAATTCAGACTGCCTTTTCTAGTACCTGGAAAGACATACATCCTTAATCCTGTAATCTTAAATGTTTGTTAAATTGCTTTTTATTTATATCACTTGTATGACATGATGATTTTTTTTTTCCCTAC